TGTTGAGTCAGAAAAATAGAGACAAAAAAAAGAAAGTGAAATGATAATAAACACGTAAAGATAAAAGAAGAAAAAATAAAAAAAGAACCCCCTTACCACATTGTGTCATGCCACCGTGTACCACCACCATCTGTGTAACCCACCAACCGAGCTGTGCTGAAAAATTACATATATATCTGGTAAGTAATATGAATATATATGCTTGCTAATACATTTTAAGTAAAATTAGCAACTGAAGATCATACTTACCTTATTTATATTATTAATAGAGCCAGGGAGTAACCTCTGGATCTCTAAACAGCTGACCATTGATGTACAGTTTGTCCACAGCCACCGCAGCTCTTCTGCCCTCGTTTATATTTTTCTTCCTAATCGGGAACAGGACGCGCCTTCTACTCAGAATCTCTGCAGGGAATTGATCGTTCATGCTGAAGTTCGTGTCACGCAGTTCTCTACCTCGGCTTTTAATTTGTTCTTTCTGTTTGTAATGTTCAAACTTAGCTACAATCGGCCGCGGTTTCGTCTGCCTCTTGTCTTGGGGGTCGGGTCTCTGCTGCTTCACAGTTACTATTAAATGTTCTATTAGAGAAGCCTTATACACTTATGCATGCTCACAACCACACACAAATAGAAGCAGGGATGCTTATGTAGGCTTTATATGTAGATATATAGATATGTATATTCATGTATATTCATGTGTATGTATGTATGTATATAGGCGTAGGTATGGGCATATATATTTATGGAAACTTACTGCAAAGCCATGAATATTTTAAGTTCTTTATACATATGTATTTTGTTGCTGTGTCTTGTCATGTTCTTTGCAGGTGAACAGACAGTGGCCGGGTGTTTTGCCGTGTGCTCTCTTTGTGTATATTTCTTATATTTTGGAGTCTTACTTTGTCTTTTCTTTCTTTCTATCCTATTTAAAAAAAAAAAAAACTACACTAGATAGTCACTAGAATAAATATTTCATAATAATGGTGTGGAGAGGATGGCTGTAAGGGGAGAAGGGAGGCCATCTAAAAAAAAAAATAAATAAAAACAATAAAATGCACAATTTACTGTGAAAATGTAACAAATCAGCATAGAAGCAGATCTGAGATGGCGCTCAGCTTCAAAGACAACGTATCATCATTTAAAACACGACTCGTACGAGTCCAGTAACAGAACCGGGTCGAACCACGAACCCCCGTTCATGCTAGAGTTTCAAACAGAATGAATGTGTTATTCCCTCTGCTTACAGCATAATTACACAAACAGTTTGACAATTTCAGCTTCAAAATGAACACATTGACACAATTCTGCATCTTTCTGAACCCCACAGCTGTAGATTATGTCTGTACCAAGGTCAAAACTCTGACTTTTTTATGCCAACATGATGAGTTTTCACAGTATCACCAGTCACACATAATTTATCTCTTCAGAAACGTTACAGGCCACCAAATATGTAGTGAGCCTGAACAGCTTTGCTGTAGACACACTACTAATTAATTATTCTTAAAGCTAGTTCAAGCACAAAGAATATTAATTGTTTAATTACAACAGATTCTTTCTTTTTCGAGTTAAATTTCTGCCATGTGACCGAGATAGCCGTGAGTGGATAGCTTAATCAGTGATATGAGACGCCATTTTATCTTTGACCCATCAGAATAAATGCGGTCATTTATTTAACAGAATCAAAATTTAGCATCAAAACATGTACACATTGATTTGCTGATCTGTTTCTGATTAATAAAAACTTGGCACGCTTTACTAACAAGACAACAGAACATTACTGATTGAGGCTGATTCACCTCTGAAGGCATCTAGATTACTGGCGAATAGAAGTTAAAGAGAAGAAATAGATTTAAAAGGAAGATGGATGAAGGAAGATGTATGTTTGTTGACCAGAATTAGCACTCTTCTTTCAACACCAGCTCAAAACCCCGGTCCACTTAGTGCGTGACAACTCGTGACGTCTCTTTACCTTTGCAGTGGATGGATCAGCTCCAGTATAGAGGTCCCTTTGCACGCTACCTTTCAGCGTCTCCGGTCAGGGTGGCTGGTCATTGTCTGAAGTCGTGACGATTTACTCCTTCAACAGAACAAGCTTCCTTCGAAGTTGTAGGGCGTTAAGCCCGGGTGAGTTCACAGCGAGACGCTGTGACTCCGCTGGGATGGACGGACCCTTGTCTCACGGTCAAATCCATCAGCTATTGATTAAATCTGAAAGTTCCTTAGGAACTCTCAGTAAGACTCCAGTCAGAAATTCCACTCAGAAGTGGAAGACTCCTGGGAAGACTTCAAAGACTCAAGGAAGACTGAAAGAAGACTCCATAGTCCCAGGAAGTGTTGACTTTTTAAAGAGTACTCACTTCCTGTCAATTGTTACTTCCTGATTGGTTGAAACAACCAGCAGGGGTGTGGTTCTAGTGATGTCAAGAGGGTCACTAGAAGTCAAAAAGACAGCAGGAATGTTTACAAACGGTTAGTACAGACAGAGGAATGTTATGACGAAGTGAGACGAACGCAGGTGCCAGTTGAAGTTATTTACTGTCTGCTAGTTTTAAAAACAAGGCACTTCGTTCTCATAACTTGCTTTCTGACTTCTGACCGACATCGCTGACTTCTGACCGGCATCAAATCCACTCATTCAGACAGAAGATCAAAATGCACAATTACTTTGTAAATAGACATTTAACTTGATTTTTAAGTCTAATGAGGTTTAAAAATCATTGATACTGTTTCACAGTTGATTTAAATGAGTGGTTCACTTCAACATTTAGAAATGGTATGAACTAAACACACTTTGGATTATCAAGATATCTTAAAATAGTAATGATAATGTAAAAAGGAAGAGTGTTCTTTCAATTGATTAATTCAGGATACAATTAAATAGTCTCTTGATGAGATAATTTGTATTTCTGGATTCAGATCAATGAAATAACAGTTCCTGTCCCCTGAAGGTCTTCAGAGACAGGTTGAGGTCGGAGGCCTAGTTCACTACATATATAACATCCATCCATCCATCCATTATCTTTACCCGCTTATTCCATTTTGGGTCACGGGGGTCGCCGGTGCCCATGTCCAGCAATCACTGTGCGAGGGGCGGGGTACACCCTGGACGGGTCGCAAGTCCATCACAGGGACACATAGAGACAAACGAGACAAACAACCATTCACTTTCTCACTCATACCTAAGGACAATTTTAGCGTTACCAATCAGCCTAACATGCATGTTTTTGGTCTGTGGGAGGAAACCGGAGCACCCGGAGAAAACCCACGCATGCACGGGGAGAACATGCAAACTCCACCCAGAAAGGCTACCGGACCGGGGCTTGAACCAAGGACCTGCTCGCTGAGAGGCAGCAGCTCTACCAGTTGCGCCACCGTGCTGCCCACATATATAACACAAATCTCTAATTTTACTATTACTTTGGATTTTCAGTTAATCCATCAGAGTGAATGACTACATGTGGGGCTCAATAAAATTTAGATGTCTCAAAAAATGTCAAATAACTGTGCTAATGGTTTGAATTATATTTTTTAGGAAAGTGTCCAAAAGTTTTAACCTAGTTTTCTTAACAGAATCAAAATCAGAAAACAGCAGTCCATTGTTTATCGTGGGGGATACGCAACCTGAAGACCCGCGATAAATGAAAAACTGCGAAGTAGGAATAGTTGTACAAGTAGTAAGTAGTAGTTTATTTTAGTATTCATGTGTGTATATATATATATATATATATATATATATATATATATATATATATATATATATATATACACTGTATATAAAGGTGGTTGAAACCCTTCCCACACTCTTGCAATATTCTAAATAATGTTTCTAAACTCTAAAGCTCTAAAGGAACACAAAATGTCATGATTTCAGCTCTTTGACACCTGCAAGTGCTCTTGGCCATGCCCACTTCTCAGCTCTGCACACAGAACAGCTGATCAGCTGCAGCAGGAAGTTTATCCTGCAGTATGGGCTGCAGAATGTGCTAAATAATTTAAAATAGTTAATTTTAAATAAAAATTCCACGCTGATCGTGTGGCTCATCCATCAATCAGCGAATTGTGTGTCATGTCTAATCTTATTTTGAAAAACTGCGATAGAGAGAGTCTGTGATAAACGAACCACGAAGTAGCAAGGGACTACTGTAAGCTTTAAAAGTCCATGCTCAGTAATCCAGGTATACAATCCAACAATTTTCAGTCAGGTCATCTGGACAGTTTCTTTTTTGGTGAAACGTTTCAGAAAAAAAAAAAAAAAAAAAAAGAAACTGTCCAGATGACCTGACTGAAAATTGTTGGATTGTATACATGGATTATTGAGCATGGACTTTTTGGGTTTTGAACCAGTTTGACATGACTGTCGATGAGGAAAAGGGCCGGCTCCAGAGGAGGGGGCGTGCCAAAGAGACCATCTTAGCACTAACATAACTGGTTTGTTCCACTTTGGAGTAAGCTGTTTGGGGAAGAATCAGTTTTGTGTTGTGTGTTTCCTTGACTGATGAAGCCTTCTGGATGGAAGGTGAAAAGTTTCAGAAAAAAAAAGCAACTGTCCAGATGACCTGACTGAAAATTGTTGTACTGAAAGCTTTATTATCATTGTGCCGAACTACAGTGAGATTACGTTTGTACAGTCGTCCGAAAGATAGATGGCTAATAAATAGTTTATAGTTATATCCTGATGCATGCTCAATAAATAAATAAATAAAGTTTATAGTTATGTTATTAATTCCTCTATAAACACTTTATAAACTCTCTGTCACCCTTAATTAATGCATAATACGCTGTTATTAATTATTTATAAAGTGTTTATTCAGGAATTAATAACATTTCTATAAACTATTTATTAGCCATCTATAAGGGGAGCCTTATTGTAAAGTGGTACCAAACTTTTTAAATCTTGAGATAAATTGTGGTTATAATAATTTTAAAACAGACAAACAAACTGTCTACATTGTTTTACTGTGAGTACTAGTCAAGCTGCATATCAGTGTATTTTTTAATACCTGTAAGCAGATCTTTCATCTTGTTATACCATGTGTGTGTGTGCTCCAAAGAGGCATTGTGGAGGTGCAGTGTGTCCTCCTCCAGCCTCCTCTCCCTCCTCCTGCAGCAGAAGAGAGCCAGGCCAAGCACAGCTCCACCTGACTGCTGACCTGCCCCTCGTCGCCGCTTCACCTTTACTGCAAACACATCCTGCAGCAGCAGCATGCCTGCCTGCAGCATGCTTACCTCACCTGCAGAGAGAGAGGCAAAAGAAACATGCAACATGTGAGCTAAATACTATGACTGACAGGTGCAAACAAGCCACAAACAGCTTAACGCACAGCAAACTGTTAAAAAACATGGCTGAATTACTGAATGATGACTCCAAAAATTAAATAAATGCAACAGAAAAATGCTGCAAATGAAAAACTGCAGTCACAGAAAATAGACAGAAGAAAAAAATACAACCAACAAAACAAATGCAAACTAAAAATTTGATAAATATCAAAAACCCGACCCCGTCCAAAAATAAATGCTAGTAAGAAACGTTGCAAACTCTCTCCTCAAAACAGAAGTGCACCAGACCACGGGAGGACTCGTCCACCAAGTCATATAGGACTAGACCCTCTGAAAAACACATTATAGCTGGGCAGCCACTTTCTAAAGTTATAAGACATTCATTATATGAAAGGATATATTAAATCTCAACTAAAGAGAGATTTTGCTAATATATGGAAACAAAAACTACTGTTAAAGGTAAAGTAAGGCAGAAAATTAAACATTGGTTAGACAATGACTTTAAATCATATAATTTGCTATTTCAAACCTTGCCACAAATGACCCATCTACCTTCAAAACAGACCAAAAGAATCAAATTAACATCAAAAGGTTTGCATCAGTCCCACCAGTTTTCAACTGGAGGAAGACAAAGACCTGTGAAGCAAACTGAGTGACCGTTGCCTTAGTGGTTAGCGTTAGCTTCTGCTCTGTTTTTTTTTTTTTACCTGTTTAACAATTTAGTGTTAGCGAAGCTAATTTTTTAGTTAGTGGATTATGGGTTAGCAAAGCTAAATTTCTGATTAGGTGTGTCAAGAATGTTTCCTCTAAGCTGAGCACTTGCACAATTGCACACTCCAACATTTTTCAGTCAGGTCATCTGGACAGTTTCTTTTTTTGTGCTGAAATGTTTCGCCTTCGATCCGGAAGGCTTCATCAGTCAAGGAAACACACAACAAAACTGATTCTTCCCCCAACAGCTTACTCCAAAGTGGAACAAACCAGTTCTGCTTATGATAAGATGGTCTCTTTGGTAAGCCCCTCCTCCATTGCCGGCCCTCTTCCTTGTTGACAGTCTTGTCAAACTGGTTTGTTCCACTTTGGAGCAAGCTGTTGGGGAAGAATCAGTTTTGTTGTGTGTTTCCTTGACTGATGAAACCTTCCGGATCGAAGGCGAAACGTTTCAGCACAAAAAAAAAGAAACTGTCCACATGATCTGACTGAAAAATGTTGGATTGTATACCTGGATTATTGAGCATGGACTTTGTTGTTTTCAACCAATTTGACAAGACTGTCAACAAGTAAGAGGGCCAGCAATGGAGGAGGGGGCGTACCAAAGAGACCATCTTATCACAAGCTTAACTGGTTTGTTCCACTTTTGGAGTAAGCTGTTGGGGGAAGAATCAGTTTTGTTGTGTGTTTCCTTGACTGATGAAGCCTTCCGGATCGAAGGCAAAACGTTTCAGCACAAAAAAAAGAAACTGCCCAGATGACCTGGCTGAAAAATGTTCGATTGTATACCTGGATTATTGAGCATGGACTTTCTTGTTTTCAACAATTGCACAATGCTCGCACATTCTCAGAGCACAAGAAAATCTATGCAGTGCATAAAATAAAATTCAACATAAACTGTAAATTAATTTGACCAATTTTTTTTTCTATACCATTTTGCAATGTAACTCAGTGAGTGACAGGTGTCCAGCCAATGAGATGATACAGTTCACTTATGCTACACAGTAGTGGTGTAACAGTACATGTGGGTGTATTGAATTGTTTCGGTATGGCATGTTTGGTTCAGTCCACGTGCGTACCGTTTCGTTTATTTTTTCACTCAATAAATTTTATTAACGAGAGATTATGCGCCTTGGAACTAAAGTTTCTAAGCAAGTTTCAGCACGGCGTTATTAATTGTTGCATAGCCTTGCAGCATGCGTAACATTAGCAGCCTAGAATGTCGTTGCGGTCTCCTGTTTGGGAACATTATGGCTTTCTTGTTAAAAGACAAGTGTAAATCCAAAGCTGTGTGTCAACATTGTTTCACAGAGATTGGATCTGCAGCAGGCAACACGTCTAACTTGTTAACGCACTTGAAACGACATCATCCAAATGTGAACGTCTCTTCTAGCAGCTTGGTACAAAGATCGATAACAGCAGCATTTAAACAACCTTTATCAGGTAATTCAGATCGGTCCAAAGCAATAACACAAGCTGTAGGCGTTTTTAAAGCTCTGGATCTATGTCTGTATTCTGTTGTTGATGTGCCAGCTTTAAGCATATGATTAAAGTTCTTGAGCCCCGCTGCCTACGACATCCCATCACTTCAACACTTCAGCCAAAACGTTGTAGCAGCACTTTATGTAAAAGCTAAAACTGATCGTCAACAAGCCCTGGACCCGATTTAAAGCCCTGCCCTGATGATGATGATGATGAGCTAGAGAGAATATTCAACCACCTCATAACTGAAATGATAACTGTGCAAGAAGAGGTATTGTTATTGTATTATTGTGATCTAAATAACTTATTTTAATTTAAAATTATAATCTTATTAACTCATTTTTTTATCTCTTTGTGCTGTTTGCAGTCTGAGGATGTCAACACGATAGAGCTGAGTCTTCTTCATTCACCAGATCACCTTCAACTAAGAAGTCTGTAATGACTGAACTTGTTTACTTGGCGTATTTTCAAAATAAACATTTTGTAAGTCTTTATTTTGACCTTTTTTGTACCAAACATTAACCAAACCGAGCCCTCCTTGAAACTGAACTGAACCGAAATGTGATTTTAGTGTACCGTTACATCCCTACTATGCAGCCAATCATAGCATTGACAATTGCATATGTGTCCTGCCCATACGTGCCGTAGCGCCGTGTAGGTTAGCTAGGTAACAACAGTGCGGCGGAGTTAAGAGCCACAAATGCTAAACCCTTATCATGGCGAAACGAACGGACAGTGACACATCCACTCACCAAGGCAATGTAAAAAAGAAATGCGTTTTTTTCTGAGTATGTGCAAACAGAAGATGAAGTGATGAAAGTGGGTAAGATTTTTTTATTTTTCGAGTAAGAAAGGTCTGCTCTGCAAAACATGCAAAGTAGCAAGCAAGTTTTCGAAGGGAAAATTGTGGACTGAATGGAAGTTGGACTACCTCAAGCGTCACATACAGCAGAAAAGTAATTTGAAAGCTGTTGGAATTGTACAAAGACTCAAGATGGGACAGGGAATTGGTACATTATTGAGGGAGAGTGCAAAAGACGGAGAAAAGGAACAAGCTGTCACACACAAAAAAAAAAAAAACTGACCCCTATCATGTTAAAGTTCTCAATGATAATATTTTACTTTCCATCAAAATTAATGCATCAGTACTGTCAGTTCAACAAATCCCTGATCACACGGCAATGTATGAGTACCAGAAAGCTGGCGATTCAAAAACTATGCTTTTGAATTTGTAAACTCAATCAATGAGACAGTGTAGAATTAGACTATATGCAATGTTAAAATGCACCCTGGCATACCCTTTGAGTAGATGAGACCACAGACATAACAGCAAACAAAATGCTAGTCATATATTAAATACAGTGAGAAAAGTGATGTCAACTATAAAACTGTGTTTGGTGGCATCATACAGCTGAAAGCATGCACTGCTCAGGATAATGTCTAGGCAATAACTTAGTTTTATTCCAAACATGGTCTGGACATGCAGATAATGGTGATGCTGACTTTCCAAGAGTGCCTCAGTAATGCTAGGAAAACACAACAAAGTTGTGACTTTGTTAAAGCACCAATTCAATTCAACCTTTATTTATACAGGTTAGTCTCATTGAGCCTCGATGACTCATTTACAAGAGATACATGTTGAAAACAACAACAAAAAAAAACGGATAACAACAGTAAACAACAAGTAGACTGCTTCACTGAAGGTTCTTAATGACGTTGTTGAAACACTGGATGCTAAGGATTATTGTGCTGCACTTTAATTAGACCTGTCTAAAGCTTTTGACACTGTGGATCATAACATCTGTGCCATAAACTCTCAGAAATTGGTTTCTCAGAACACAACATTGGTTGGTTCTCTAACTACCTCTCAGACCGGAGATAGTGTTCAACATAATGGTACTTGCTTCAGTTATTTAACAGTCAACAATGGTGTCCCACAAGGCTCAGTCTTAGGACCCACCCTCTTTACAATCTACATACATAATGTAGATAAAAACATCCCTAATGCATCCATACATTTCTATGCTGATGACACAGTTGTTTATTGTTGAGCTAAAACATTTGATAAGGCTTTCCAGCTTTTGAAATCTGCATTCAACAACATCCAGACAGATTTGTTCTGCCTCAAACTTGTCCTAAATGCCAACAAAACCAAAGGGATGCTTTTTTTCAAATAGGAAGTTGGTCCCAGCAGTTCTTCCTCTGATCTCATCCTCAAATGATGGCCCGATTGAGTTAGTTGATTCCTATAAATATTTGGGAGACTGTGAGGTCTCAGTCTCTGATAGAGGACATTTGCAAACTGAGGTTTACCGCAAACCCACCCACACAGAGCAGTATTTGCAGTTTGACTCCCATCACCCTTTGGAGCACAAGTTAGGAGTCATCAGGACTCTGTATCACAGAGCAGACAGCGTCCCCACTAGCTCAGGAGCCAGGCAGAAGGAGAAATCCCACACAAGACAGGCTCTAGAGCAATGTGGATATCCTAACTGGGCCTTCCTGAAAGCAGAGAAGAAACCCAAACAGGACTCCAGTCAGCCAACAGGTGAAAAGGAGGAACCCAGACCCAGACCAGTGGTCATTCCATATGTTGAGGGAGTATCAGAGAAACTGAGACGTTTATTTTCTAAACATAATATCCCAGTGGCTTTTAAACCCCAAAATACATTACGACAAAGACTGGTTCATCCCAAAGATCCAGTCCCCCGGCACAAACAGAGCAATGTTGTGTATGCTGTTCAGTGTCAGGAGGGCTGTG